ACCTACAAGACTGAAAATGGGGAATCAGAGACATCAATGTATAATGAAGCTAACTACAAAGCAAAAGGAGAAAATAATGTAGATACAGAACTTCCAAATGGCAAGGAAGTCAAGTAGATTTCTAGATAAAACAGACTGTTTTAAAAGGGGGGGGGGATTAATAAATTACAGAGTAATCTTGAAGAAAAATAATATACCTGCACATCAAAATTTTAAAAAGAGGAAAATCAGAAAGATTTAGTAAAAATTAACACAACAGAAATGAGAAAAGAAAACCCACAAACAAAATGAACTCGGAATAGAAAATTATGTGGAACAAAAAATCCAGCAGCATCACAAAACACACACACAGAAAAATGACAGCAATCAATTCATACCTACTGATAAATTATACTGAATGTAAATGGTTTAAATGTATCAATCAAGAGACATACAGAGCCATTCGAATGGATAAGAAAACAGGATCCCTCAATATGCTGTCTACAAGAGACATTTCAAAAAGATGCAGACAGCCCATCAACAGAATAGTAAAACAAATTTTGGTACATGCACACAATGGAATACTACAAATCACTGAAGAATAATGAATCTGTGAACCACCTCACAGCATGGTGGAACCTGAAGGGCATTATGCTGAGTGAAATTAGTCAATCACAAAAGGCCAAATATTGTATGAGATCTATCTTTTAAGATGTTTTTTTAAAAGTTTACTTGATAAAAGAAACAATACATGATGGTTACAGGGGGTAAGAGAGGGAGAGAAAATTATTCATGGGCTACAGGGTAGACACATGGTGACACAGGTAGCAGACAGGGCAGGCAATATACAACAAGAGGGAGGTTAGCAGACGAAAGATGAAGGTAGCATGGGGAGGAATGCAGTGGTTAAAGTGGATCCTGTAAGTGTAACAACTCTACAAGTTGGGTTATTATCTGCATTTCACAGATCAGCAAACTGAGGCTTGGTGGGCTGACATGCCCAGGGCCACACGGGTTAAGTGGCAGAGTCAAAACTGTACAATAAGAAAGGTAATGCATGCTTATTGCAGAAAACAGGGAAAATACAGAAAAGCACAAATAGTGTCTGCCTTTGTTAGGATACTATTTGATATTTGATGCAGCTGCTATTTCTCTCTATAAAATATTCAAGTATGTTTTCTGCAATGCATGCCACCTTCCCCATGAATTACTCTACTCACTGGAAGGCCACAGGATTTGGTTCACACTGATAACCAGCACTGGTCACAACTGTTTGGTTCTTACCTCCTCTTCTTTGTCTCTCTTTTCTCATGAAAAAACCCATCTCATGAGCAACCTGGCAGCAGAGATCAAGCTTTCTACACATCTGCAGTAAGCTCAGCTGCACTTTAACATTCTTTTTCTTTCTTTCATTCATTCAACTGTTCTAATATTGGGAAGCAAGAAATGCTATACCTTGAGGATGACATTCAAACTAACAGGCATCTTATGGGATAAAAGAAACCTCCAAATGCGTACACATCTGTAGATCAGTTACAAGCAGTGAAGTTAAAACCCACATTTTCTTGCAATGGACTCCTCCTAGATGAGTCGATAGCTTCAGGTGAGTTGTCCATTTCCCTCTCGCACTCCATGTCAACATCATTTACTGAGCATCTTTAAGGTCATGTGGGAGATGTGAAGATAAATAAGACAGGGTCCTGCTTTCAGTAGCTTTTAGTTGAATGTTGCTGTTGTTTTTAAGTGCCGTAGAGTTGGTTCCGACTCATAGCGACCTGTATAGGGTTTCCAAGGAGCGTCTGGTGAATTTGAACTGCTGATCTTATGGTTCAAACTGACCTTGAAGTCCAGTGCTTATCCTACAGTGCCACACCAGGACTCCTTTGTTTACTTGGGGGGTGGAGGGGGAAGAAAAACACAAGTAGGTTTTTTAAAAAGCACTTTCAGATGAGATGTTACTGTTGTTAAATGATGTTGAGTTGCTTCCAACTCATAGCACCCTGTACAGGATTTCCAAGGAGCTGCTGGTGAGTTTGAACCACTGATCTTATGGTTAGCAGTCCAGTGTTTATCCTATAGTGCCACACCAGGACTCCAGGTTCATCATACTGCTCTGTAATCCAAAATGAGATAAAATAATTAAACAGCCTAAGACTGCTAGGGTGCTCTGAGAACTCAGAGAGGCAAGTTTTCCTGACTGAGAGGACTAGGCGTGTGACTTGGACCTTGGAGTCTGGATACGCGATACATGTGAAACATACATCCATGGGGGGGGGGCGTGTATGAATGGTGGGGGGAGGCAAATAGAAGCAGAAAGAACAGACTCAACAAAGGCATGGGAGTACAGGAGACTGAGAAAGGGGGAGGAGCCAACTTTAGTTGAAGCAAACTGAATCTACAAGAGAATACAGGAAAAGAAGAGTATAACATGAAAAATGGGATCACTGGAAAGGTTTTAGCTTAACCTAAAGTAAAACAGAACACAAATACCCATTATAGAACAGTTTATGTTATTGTTAAGTGCTGTCGAGTCGATTCTGACCCATAGAGACCCTGTACAGGGTTTCCGAGGCTGTAAATCTTTACAGGAGCCTCATCTATAGTTTAAGTTCAACTTGCTCCCTAGCTAAATTTCATAATTCATCACTCATTTTCTATCACCAAAGTAGAACGTGTGGTCCAAACAAGGGGGTCATTCTTGTTCTGGGAACAAAGGTAAAATCAGCAAACAGGAATGGTTAAAACAGTCACTATATTCAGGACACACCACTCTAACTACTGAAATAATTACCCTAATTTCTGGACTAGAAAAACAATACAACAATGCCTGACTACAAGTTCTTCTATCTTGATTTTCTTCCCTCTAAAAGAGGGAGAGAGATCCAGGAGATTCCTGCTCCCCTGTCATCATGTATACTGATATTCAATAAACACTTTGCTTTTACTCTCAGCCCTGTCTCTGAGTATTGGCTAGTTTGGTGGCAGGTAACTATAAGAACCCCTTTTGTGGTTGCATGTGTGGGCCTATGGGTGAAAGCACAGAATGTCAGAGTAGAGTTTTTACTTTATTCAGTCTGCAATTAGGAACCATTCAGTCACTCAGCCAATGTTTCTTAATTTTCTACTATACACTAGGCCTTGGGATAGACATCATGAGATATAAAATGAAGAAATAAAAGGCAGGGCCCTGGTCCTTTGCTCTCATGACTGAATTCCGTGATAACATAACTTTCTAGAAGTATAGTTTAAACTCAAAGAGGAACTGTGAAGAGCAAAAGAAAACTAGTCAGAACAGCAAAATCAATGATAAAGAATCAGTTGGGTTACTTATTTGATGTCTGATAAACTACCCCAAAATCAGGTGACAGAAAACAATCATTTGATAACTTGCTGCAGTTTGGGAAGGTCTCTTTTCTTGTGGCCAATCTGCTGGGGTAGGTAAATGGCAGGTCTGGCTGGAACGGCCACCATGTGTCACATCTAAGGACTTGTTTCTTTCTCTGTAGGTTGGGTTCCTCAGTTCCCTTCCACATGGCTTCTCCAGTGCTTGAGAGGGAGAGACTGACAGCACACAACAAACACATCCTACCTTTTCCTATGTCTGTGTCACTCCTGAGAGCCCCTGCTGCATGCACCCCAACTTTCAAAATCAGGAGAAAGAAAATACATTAAGGCCTTGTGCCTGCCTTCTCTCCCACCATCTGCTGTGTCTTTGGGCTCCTGAGGCATACCTCATCTCTCATGTATACACATTTTGACTCTGTCTCTAGACAGCTGGACAGAAAATTGAGTTTTATTGTTCCTGCTTCTCAGGATGACATTAAGGAGATCTTAATCTCCTTGAAACTTTTAAGTCTCTCTTGTATTTTCCATCCTTGATGATCTTCCCATTCCCCAAATTGGACACAATGATCTAGGTGTGACCTGTATTATACCAAGTCCAGATATGGCATCAGGATTTCTATGGGAGAAGCAATCTGGCTGGAAGGAGCTTGGGAGAGACTAAGATTTTTCTTGAAACTTTTATGAGTTATAGGGTCCCTCATCTGATTAGAATTGGTCACCAAAGAGCTGACATACTAGCCTGTGTATGACTAATAAAAATATACACTTAGTTCATATAAATTACATTAATAAAAATGTACATAGTCCATATGAAAACAAAAGTTAACTAGGTTTTCTACAAAGACAGAAGCTGAGATTCTTTTAGCCTTTCTAACCATCCATCATTGTTTCAAAAACAAGCAGTATAGCCTAGTTCTTAAGTGTGGGTTCCTGAACTTAGACTGTAAGAGTTTGAATTCTGGCTCCACTGTTTACTGTGTCATCTTGTACAAGTCAATAATCTCTTTGTGACTTAGTTTCCTTGTCTATAAAATGGGGATAATAACATTGCCCATTTCATAGGCTTGTTATATTAACTAGTACTTGCAAAGCACTTAGACAGTGCCCAATAAATTATAAACACATTCAATCGCTGCTAATCATTTTTCTATAAATTATCATTAACATGCTTTATAGATGTTTTTCCTCTTTATTGATTCTTATTTGGGATGACCTTGGAGGAAGAGACTGTTGAACATTATGAGGAGCAAAAGACACCCCTTCAAGCCACTTTCTAGGCACATTGGCTAACTTCAATAATGAAATTGGCTCTTGGCAAGAAAAGCCATCAATAGCAAATTAAAACATCAATAATTTAAGGTAACAATTATTCTCTTAATCCTCAACAATTTTCTATTTAAAATAACAGATAAGTGACAGAGATGAATTTAAGAACAAAAGAGCTAAAAAATCAGGAGCAAATCTACAAATATACTTTAAATGTGTTAACAAAAGGGTGTGTTTTCCCTTTAAGAGAAAATGAGATATATGAAAGCAATTCCAAATATTACCTTAGAATTATGCAATTCCACAGTATATTTGTGTCATCAGTTGTCCTAACATCCATTTTTCTAACATAACTACAAGAGGCAAGTAGAAGAGACCTCCTGTGAATAACAGGAGGGGAGTACAAGATCCTCAGCAGTGAGCTCACGTAGAACCATTTCCCCGCTGCTCTGAGTTCACATAATCTTATTTGCATAGAAGAACTGCAGAAGCTCTGGATGGTAGTGGCTCTGAAAGATATTAGCAAAGGTCCAAGTGAGGAGTCAACCAAATGGATTGACTATAGAAAACTAGTAGACAGTTGTCGAATGCAAAGCATCACAACAAATAATCAGCCTCGCCTTCAGGCACTGAGAAATGGTGGCATCATGACCTCCTTTCATTCAGGAATCCAAACCAGAATTGCCAAAAATAATGTGCAGTCCTCCATTTACATTGCATTGTGGGTCAATTAAAATTGGAATACACTTGCCCCAAGTCATTTGACTGAGGACTTCCTGTGTGCTTGGCCACATTCTGGGTAAATCACCCTGGAAGTCACAGGGCTCTAAGAGAACTCTGTCTTCTTGCTCACTCACCAGCTGCCGGCAGAGTTTAGGGTTCCGCTGTTCTTCTTCACTCTGGAAGCTGTATTCCTTCCTTAGTCTCAGATATGGGGAACAGGCTTGGAGAGTTGTTTTGCAAGCCTGGGAAAAATAATGTTACATTTTAGGAGATGGGGATAAGACTCTTGTGGTACAATACTTAATAATTGCTATCAGGACTGACTGTGAGGGTTGGAAATGTAAAGGTAGATGTTTTGTAACAAAAGGAGGGGAGTGGTTGATCTTGCAGTCCAGGAGCAGAGGTCCCTGGGACCACCAAGGGAGAAGAGCGGAGTGCAGGACCCTATCCAGAGAAGCAGTAACGCCAGAGATGGAGGCAGAGACAATGACATGAAGAGATGGAACGGCTGGGAACTCTGGACTCAGGGAG